CCCCAAAACCCCAAAACCCCAAAACCCCAAAACCCCAAAACCCCAAAACCCCATAGTATGGCAAGAGATTTGAAACAATACCAGACAAATTAATCATTTAGCTGTGCTAGGAAATCATCAAATTCTTGGAACTCATCCTTCATAGCCGATGTTGTCTTCAGTAGAGGCTTTGGTAGACTACTAGGATCTTCCTTTGAAGATCCATTATTCTTTTCTAAGTAAGCATCTTCTGACTTGTCCATTAATAGTTCTGGGTTATCAGGATCAGAAACCTGAATAGCCAGATGTGATAAAGCAGGATCTGACTGTTCGATAAAATTCAAGTAGAAAATTTCGTATTTGATGGGTAAAATTCAATGACTCTCTTTTGTAGATTGGTTATATATAATTTCTATCTCTTTAATTCCACTATCTTGAAGATTAGCTTCTACATCTTCCAATTCTTCAACTTGGCTTATGAGATCTCCATACTCATTCAATATTTTTGTAAGGAATATTTTAACATTTTTGACTTTATCCTGGCTCAAGGAGACATACATTGAAGAGAATTCATTTTTAAATAGCTCAATATCATGCTTGATCAATAGATGGGTCATATGGATAAAAAGTATTCTCTTATTTATAATTCTTTGCATTAAAATAACTTGTATATATCTCCTTGCATTTCTCTCTAGCAATAGAATTGCCATCTTTCATAACTTTAGAGATGTAGAAGCATAAATTCTCACTTACTGCTCATTGTACTGAGTAGTTATCAGAATCAAGAAGTTTCTCCCATTTTTGTAACATTGTATGAGAAGTGAGCTTTTCGATAGAATAATTTTCAACAATAGTTTTTATCATCCTCGCTTTGACTTGTTGAAGTCTCCAGCAATCTTCAAAAGAATACATGTCTGAAACAACTTTGAAGAGAATCTCTTGAGTTTCTTGGCTCCAAAAGTTCCAATATTTTTCACTGTTTTGAAGAATTTTGAATTTTATTTGCTCAATATCTCCCATAAAATTGCAGAATATTTCTAAAAGTTGGGACTCAAACATACTTCTTGTCTGACATCCATGAAGTGTTTTGAAGACTTCATGAAAAGAAGAAGCTAAAGTTTTTCTGATATTAATAGAACTATGACCTCACAAGCTAGTATAGCTATTCCGGATAAATTTCCATAGCTTTGGACTGGAGACCAGGATCAATCATGGCATATTGTATGAAATATTATAATTGATCAACTCTGGATCATCAAGATCATCCTTTAGGCCTTCCTCAATGTAATTCACGATGAGCTTATCAATATTCTTACTCAGATCAGTTTGATTGTATAGGCTAATCTGATAGATAATTTTTCCAAATTCACTAAACATTGTATTTTTCACCCATTTTGACTCATCTTTAATCAAATTATCAATGATTCACAAAATCTTTACCACATCTTTCTTCTGAGGCTCATGGTTTTGAAAATATGCTGTAAGAAACTTTTCCATTGACTCCACGCAAGCTTTACGTACACCCCAATGAGCATCCTCTCATAAAATTAAGAAGGTAGGAAGGACGTATTTTCTTGACGTATTCTTCTTACAGTTCATAGATATGGATGCTAGTGCATGGGCAAGGAGCCTCTTTGCTAAAGGACTTTTTGTCTTGTTGTATTCCTCATGATATGCCTTACAAAATTCCTTTATTTCCTTCATTTTGATGTACTTCTCTGCAAATGCATGGATTAATTTGTAAATAATCTCCTCATTTGATTGGAAAGTGCCGACTAGAGACAAAATAATATTGTTTAAAGAAGATGAAGCCTCCTTTTTGCCAATTTTATCACTTATTTTGGTCAAGGCCTCTATTATCTTCTCTCTGATTTCGTCATTAGACTTCTTAAGCAGAGATTCTAGAGTCGGAAACACATTGAGAACTATTTGATCTATAGAAGTATCGAAGTTTTCTTTTATTAAAAAATCTATAACTTCAGGGAGAATTAGGAGGAATTTAGCCTTCAAGTCGTCTGACTCTTCAATGAATATATTAAATGAAGGTATGATGTTGTCGATAATCTCCTCAAATTTTAGGATCCGTAGAATTAAATGCATTTCTTGGAGGTAATTCTCTCGATCAGTCTTATTGTATTTGCTGAAAATATCTCACATTTTCTTAACTTTCTCAATGATTGCTTCCCTCTGCTTAACAAGACGCTCTTCTGGTGTGAGCTTCAAGTCATCATTCTCAAGGTACTGAGTAAGACTAAAGTTAGAATTTGAAAGAATAGTGTTTATAGCAGAGGTATCTTCTGTGCTATCATTATTCGTATTCTCTCCATTAGGTCCTTCAGAATTCTCATTTTTGGAAGCTTGAGAGTGAGAAATCTTTTCCTCTTCGATCAACTCTCTGTCATTGAGACCCCAGGAGTTTCCTGAAGATCCAAAACTGCCTGACATTTGTTTAAAGGAATCTGAATTATTTTAAATCTGTTCCAAGAAGTTTCTCGTATTTCTCGATAGCAGCACTGATGTCTTCATTAGAGCTGAGGTCTAGTGAATCTTGGCTGTATTCAAATATATTCTGATCTTGAGGATCACTTTCATCAGTGATGAGCTTGCTCAACTTCTGAGAATTTTCTGGAGAACAATTCTCCTTCATTGATTCAACAAACTTTCTCTTTGCTATAGGAAGGTTTAGGAACGATTGGTATTAAGTTTGGGGTCATTCTGAAATTCGAAGGAGTTATAACTTACCGAAAATAGAAATCTCTGGAGATTCTGGCACTGGATTTTGTGTTGGCGATGACCACTTAGTTCCATATTTATCCTATAATTAGTAAATTTATTATATGAGGCGATATCATAATGATAAGAACTAATATAAATGAATGAAACAGTAAGGGATGCCAACCTTTTCTATTTCTTGGAGATCATTGGCATCTAGAGATGCTGAGAAGAGATCATCAAGATCATTACTCATGTTGAATTTAAATATTTTACAACTCAAAAGGGGTTTTGGGGTTTTGGGGTTTTGGGGTTTTGGGG